AATACCCCAATTAATATTTTGGATCCCTCATTTATTTGGACTGTTACCTACAAAATTGAAAACTTTAAAAATTTCTATGAACTTTTCAAATAATGCAAAAATTATCCTTCTAAAAATATTACATCCACCAAAATGTATATCACTTATCACGCTCACTAAAAACCCTTCATCTTCCAAAACCTTTAACAATTGAATTTACAATTCTTCCTCTTGCCGTCAAAAGAGTTATATTGTCAAAAGAGTTGCGCCCTCAATCTCTATCACAATAGATCTCTCACTGCTAATCTTTCTCCATCGTCAATCTTTCCATCATCAATCTTTTCACCGCTATGTTCAAACCTATGTTGTCGAACGAATTACTCATATTTGGATCTGTGTTACAAAATAATTTGTACATGTTTGGACTTGTGTTACCGAATATTATAAAAACTTAATATCATGTGTTTGTGAACAAGTTGACCCATCAAAATTTAACTAACAAAGATAATTATGCATTAACCAGTTTGATTAACAAATAAAAATAAAATTCATTGCAAAACCAAACCTATGTTGTCGAACGAATTACTCATATTTGGATCTGTGTTACAAAATAATTTGTACATGTTTGGACTTGTGTTACCGAACATTATAAAAACTTAATATCATGTGTTTGTGAACAAGTTGACCCATCAAAATTTAACTAACAAAGATAATTATGCATTAACCAGTTTGATTAACAAATAAAAATAAAATTCATTGCAAAACCAAAATATAAGGATGCATTAAGGTTGCATCTACAGTGCCGAACATATAAATAAAAAAGTTCGGATCCAAAGTACCAAACATATGAATAATGTTCGGTTAGACATTGTTGAACTAGTGCATTTAATTCGGCCTTGTATTGCCATTATTTTGGCATATATTCAAGAGTTCACTATTGAAAAAAAGTCGAACAGTTTTCACTATTTATTTATTTATTTTTTTAATTCGGCCTTGTATTGCCATTATTTTGGCATATATTCAAGAGTTCACTATTGAAAAAAAGTCGAACCGTTTTCACTATTTATTTATTTATTTTTTTTGGTGCACTTTTGAAAAAAATTATCATATGGTCAACTTCCTTCGAGCTGTGAACATCATTCAAGTCGTGAATCTTTTCTAACCTTACATTGTGATGCTTCATTCGTCTCATTGGGATTGCTAGAAAAAATTTCACTCATTGCCATTATAGGAGAAGTGTGTATTGTCGAATAGTTGTCGCCGTTTTTGCTATTGCTACCGGAAGACTAGCTGTCGGAGAGTTTTGAAAGATTTTAAAGGTTTTAAGGGTATGCAGGTTTTGAGGGTTTTGAAATGTGTAAGTGGTGATAGAGATGAGTACTCTTATAAGCTCTATGTTATGATTTAGTGAGTGGGTAGATTTTATTGTGAGATGTGGTATTCTAAAATAATTTATATCATTTTTAATAATTTTATTTAAAATTATTATTATAATAAAAAATATATAAAAAATTAAATATCTAAAATATTAATTAGGGTGCTAATAGAAACACCCTTATCTCTTGCTAGGTCGGTCACTTGGGTACCAAATTATTAAAAATTGGACAAAAGATGGAGGACCCCCAGAGAGAGAGAGAGAGAGTGAGAGAGAGAGAGAGAGAGAGAGAGAGAGAGAATTACACTAATTAGTCCTGAATGTTTTTTATTAAACCATTTAGTCCCGATTATTTTTGGTATATCGTCAAACAAACATCAGCAACATCTTTGTGAACATTCAAGCACATCATCAACATCGAATATTCAGAAACATGAAGACCATGTTCAAACATTCAGAACATTCAAGAACATTGAACATCATCGAATCTGGTGTTTATGAAAACATTCAGAACATTGAACATTAAACATTGAACATTGAGATGTTGCTGATGTTTATGAAAACATTGAACATTGAGATGTTGCTGATGTTTATGAAAACATTGAGCATTGAGAACATTGAACATTCAGAACATTGAACATTTATGAAAACATTCAGAACATTGAACATTGACATCATCAACAAGAACATTCAGAACATTCAGAAGATTCAGAACATCAACAAACATCGAACATCAAACAACATCGACCATGTTCAAACGTCATCGAACAAGAACAAATTGAGATCCTCTAGCTCCAATAATCTCACCCATGGTCATCAAACATCAAGAACAAGAACACTTTTGTCGTGGCCTAATCGTCGAGAATTACTGCCACGGTGTCCTCATCAAAGACGACGTCGTAATCGCCGATAGCCTTGGCGGCGCTGCGGCCTTCATCTCCGCCGTCCTCGATGGCCTCTCTATTCCCTCCACCTACGTCTCCAAGGTCGGTCCCGACTTCGCCTACGATGTCAATCACCACCCCATCGTCTCCTCCTCCTCGCTCACCACTGTCTTCTACGCCCATTTCTCTTTCGAACCCACAGAATCGAGACGCCAAGATCGGGTCCTCAGGCGGGTCCGATCCTGCGATCCGATTCTCCCATCGGATCTTTCCATCGGAGGCGGCGGGTTTCGTGGTGGTGGTGGTCGTCGTGAGGGTTGATACTGAAGATTGATGAGAATTGAATCTCCCTCTTTATATATATATATATATATATATTTATATATATCCATCTTCATTTTTTCAGATCTGGGTTTGTGTGTTTAGGGCTAATAAATTATGATGATGTTTCATCAAACAAATTGTTATGATGATTGTTTAATCGTTATTTTGATGTTTGATGTTATTTTAATCGTTATTTTGATGTTTAATCATTATTTAAAAAATTGTTTAATCGTTATTTTTATATTGTTTTGATGATGATGTTGTGATGTTTGATGTTGTTTTGATGATGATGTTTGATGTTGTTTCGATGATGTTACTCATAAATCTAATGTTTGATGTTTGATGAATAATCTTAATGTTTAATGGTTCAAAATCTGTGTTTGATGTTTGATGAAGAATCTTAATGTTTAGTGGTTGATGTTTGATGATTAATCCTGACGTTGCTAATGGTCGATGTTGGATGAATAATGTTTGATGTTTGAAAAGAAGGGAAATTATAAAAAGGCCTATAGTAAGCTTCTTGGGAAATAGGACCTATTAGTCCAACAAAAAACATTCGGGACTAAATGGGTTAACATTTCCAAATTTAGGATTTATTGGTGTTTTCCCCTAGAATTTTTTATTGTATTAAGTTTATCATTTAATTTATTAATATTGTATTAAAAATAGACATGAGCACCTTATCTCTTGCTAGGTTTGCCACTTGGGTATCAAATTGTTAAAAATTGGACAAAAATGGAGGACCCCTTGAGAGAGAGAGAGAGAGAGAGAGAGAGAGAGAGAGAGAGAGAGAGAGAGAGAGAGAGAGAGAGTAATAATGTTGTAATGAGTAGAATTTTTTTATTGTATTAAGTTTATCATTGTATTAAAAATAGACATTAGGAAGATTGACTAATAAGTCTCATATTTTAAATTTGTGATTTATATAGTTCCATATTTTTTTTTGTGTGATCTATTTAGTCTTTTTAGATGTGTAATGACTCATTTGCCCGCTACAATGGAGTGTCACATTTGGAAAAAATATACTAAATAATTTTTTAATGTCACATTATACCCGCCAAGTTGGAGTGTGACATTTGAAAAAATTATACTAATGAGTTTTTTTTTTTAATAGTTTTATATCATACCCGTCACGTTGACATATTTGAGAAAAGTACACTAAAGAATTTTTAATTTTTTTTTGGAATATCACATGTAAGTTTTTTAGAGTGCTACATTATACCTGTTACGTTGGAGTGTCACATGTAACATTTGGAAAAAGTACACTCAAGATTTTTTAGTTTTTTTTTTGGAATATCACACCATACCCACTACATCGTCACATTTGAAAAAAGTATACTAAGAAATTTTTAGTTGCCATATTATATCTGTCACGTCGTCACATTTAGAAAAAAATATATTAAAAAGTTTATAATCGTTTTTTGGAGCGTCGCACCATACCCGTCACATCGTCACATTTGAAAAAAAAAGTATACTAAAGAGTTTTTACTTATCACATCATGCCGCCACATCATCACATTTAGGAAAAGTACACTATGGAATTTTTAGGCTGTGTTTGGTGCAGCACTCTAATCATAATTCCACCTCTTCTCTTGAGGCCTCTGTTTGGATGGGGTGTTCAAAAATTAATTCCACCACACATTTCAAAACACACTTATCTTTCACGTTTGGCAGAGCTCACTCCAAGTAAAGCTTTCACCTTTTTGTACATACCCTCTATTTTGTACATGTTTGGTAAAGTTGAATTTTTGAATTTTTGATTTACCCAATTGTCCGTTCGGACATCCTCCCAGATGTCTGGCCGGTTGACCAAAACAGTAACCTTTTTTTTTTTTTACAATTGCCAATCGCCACCTATTATTTTGGAAAAAAAATTATATTTGTTTTTGATATTTTTTAAATATAGAAATTATTTTTTTAGACCAAAATGACAAATTATTTTTTTGAATTGAATTTTAAAAAGAGTTTGGTTATGAGTTTTGAATTGAATTTTCAATAAAGTTTTGAGTTGTGTATTTAGTTATGAGTTATAAGTTTTTCAATTAAGTATTAAAAACTCTTTTCAAAACTTATAACCAAACAAATTTTCTTTTTTTCATATGTCACATCAAAAATTTAAAACTCAATTCAAAGCTCTTCTCAAAACTCATAACTAAATGAATTTTTTCTTTTCAAATCATAATTCCAAAACTTACAAACTTAAAATAACCCAAACATTCATATTTTCAACCTCAACTTTTTAGTCTAAAAAGACAAAAAGTGCACTTATTTAGTCTTCCCAAACTTGGCCTAAGTATTAAAAACTCTTTTCAAAACTTATAACCAAACAAATTTTCTTTTTTTCATATGTCACATCAAAAATTTAAAACTCAATTCAAAGCTCTTCTCAAAACTCATAACTAAATGAATTTTTTCTTTTCAAATCATAATTCCAAAACTTACAAACTTAAAATATAACTCTATTCTCAAATCATAATTCTAAAACTCTACTAAACACTACCTTAATTTTATTTTGGAGTGTCACATCATACTCGTCACATTTAAAAAAAGTACACTAAGGAGTTTTTACTTGTCACATCATACCCGTCACGTAGTCACATTTAGGAAAAGTACATTAGGGAATTTAATTTTTTTGGAATGTCACATCATACCCGCCACATTTGAATGTCACATCATACCTGTCACATTAATAAAAGAGTATAGTCATCCACCAAAACACTATCAAAATCAAAAATAAGATCACACGGAACGAAATTCTCCACTAATAGGATTTAGCAAATCAATAGAAAAAATTTGGAACTAAGTGAAATACTTATTTGTGAGATGAGATTTATTGATAAATATCCCTAAAATTTATTGAATTAATACAGTTGTGGCAAATTACACAATAAATAAAATGTGATATAAAAAATGTGACCATAATTAATATTATTGAAGACACAAAAGACAAATATGTTTTTTTTTTTTTGGGTAAGTAAAGACAAATATGTTTTGCCTGCATGAACATATTCACGTATGAACATGCCCAATTAGTCGCCTATTGGGGCTTAATGTAACTAATAAGAGGAACTCTAATGGTGATGGTGTGCTAATGTTGATGTTAAAGTTAAAATTAGAGTAATAATTTTAATAGATTCAGTTTTAATAATTTTTTATTTTCATGCCAGGTTAGAGTAATTTTAAATTTTGAAAAGAACTATTCTCTGTCTCTTTTATGATGGATTACATAAATGACATTGTCTTAGATTTTTTTAAAAGAAAATAAAAAAAATGACATTTGCACTATTAAAATAATATTAATAAATTATATTATTTTAATATTATAATATACTAAAATTTAACTTTATTGTTGGCATTTTGACACAAATTATGACATGTTCCAAAAGTGAAAATTATTCTAGTGTCCTATGCCTCAACAAATCAATCACCAAACTCTATAACTTATGTTGTCTTTCCAATCACCAATATAAAGTAATGCATCTCACTATTTTTATCAATCATAATTTTTTTGGGGTACCATCACCTACCGATGTGGATATAGTAAGTCTTAAGTGATGTGACGTACATCAGCAAGGAGTATTGAATAATTTTTCATCAGGAAAGAAAAATTTAAATTTGTTCAGTCTTAAAATATGTGAACAAGACATAGAATTTAATTGGGGCAAAATTGTAGGGCCCGATCCAAAAATTGTATTAACTCAAACCAAATTGTATATCTCATTATTTTAAATCAATTAAAACTTTCGTTGTGTTTACACACTTGATAGTGAGAATAAAATTAAACTCCAAAAAGGTCGATTTCTATATTCAAATCTTCTAATGTCCCAAACTATTTCTCATGATAAATCTCCCTGCCTTATAATTGTGTAGAGGAGAGGTGAACAAAGGTCAAAATAAAACTCCAGAAAGGTTGATTTCTATATTCAAACCTTCTAATGTCCCCAATTATTTCTCTCTCATGATAAATCTCCCTGCCTTGTAACTGTGGAGGGGAGAGGTGAACAAAGGTCATATTTGATAATATTACAATAAAACCCAATGAATTATAATTCTAATGATAAAAATTAAATACACAACATATAATCATTACAAAGAGACCCACAAAATAGAATAAAGAGCCCTAATAAATACATAATGAATAAGGCACATGGTTAGGGAAATTCGATTCACTAATCTCCTAATGAGGTGTAAAAATTCTGGTCAGTAGAGATAATCCCATTGAGATTAATCTATGAATTTAAATAAACATAATTGATATATAAAATGCAATTTCATTAGGCCGTATTTGGGAACATGTTAAATTAGTCACAAGAAAAATCAATAAAAAAAAAAAATTATTCTCCCTTTTTTTTTTTACATTTCTATTAGTTGTGAGTCAAAATTACTTAAAATATCAATTTCAAACGAATCTTTAAATTTGTAAAATAAGAGTAAGGTAGTATTTTTCACTAGAATTGGATTGTGAATCTCAACCTCCACAAAATTATTGACATTTTCACAAAACAAACATAAATTTATGTGAATCAAATTACTAATCCAATCCGACAACATAAGGAGTAAAACAAACATACCAGAGAGACATGAGAGATCCGAACAGAGATAAACCAAACTAACCTTTCATCATAGATCGAAACTCATCAAAATCCACAAAACCATCTCCATCTCTATCCACCCCTTTAATCATCTCTCTACACTCCTCAATGCTACAACTATCACACCCTAAACTCCTCAACACCCTCTGCAACTCCTCAACTGAAATCAAACCATTCTTATCACAATCAAACATTGCAAATGCATCCATTAAATCATCGTCTTCTTCGTCGATGCTCACAACTGTCATGAACTCTTCTATGTCCACCAACCCATCTCCGTCGCGGTCCATTTCTAAAACCATTTTTTTCGCTTCCTTGGCGGCCGTGGATTTGTCCACGTGTCCTAAGCTTAGAAGGACTTGGCTTAGCTCCAGGGGAGAGAGCTTTCCATCACCATTGGAGTCTAAGAATTGGAAGACATGTTTGAGTTGATTTGGTACTTCCATGGATGTAAAAGTGGAGGTTTGGAAGTTACTTCTAGAGAATAGAATATTGGGTTTTCTTCTCTTCCATGGTTTAGGATTTCTCAAGGTCTTGAGTTGTTGAAGAAATTTTGTAGCAAACTTGTGAAGAGAGGGTAAGCAAGTTTTGTGAGGATCCAACATGGTGTGGAGAGAGAGAGAGAGAGAGAGAAGTGGTGGTCGAAAAACGGTAGTTAATAGTCACAAGAGATAGATGAATGATTAAATGTGTGTTGACGAGAAGAGAAATGGAAATAAATAATAGGGTCGGTTTGAATTAAATTTAAATCTGAATGAGACAATTTGAAGGGTTGTGGAGTCCATCCTGGCTTTTGTTTAGATGATATCAATCGTTCATTTTGTAAGATTTTTAATATATATTATTTATAAAAAAAATTAAATTAATTTGATAATTATAACATTTTCTTTTTATCATGTTTACTTCTGCAAAAATAAATGATATCCATTAGTTGGCCCTATTAAGCTCTTCAACTTCCTTATGCAAGTTCAGTCCAAATCCAGGATTTCCTGCTGTGGTTTCTGCCTTAAACGACGTCATTTTGGGACAAAACTAACCCCCTCCCCCCAAAAAAAAAAAGAAGTAAAAAGAGAAAGAAAGAAGTTGAAACTGACAGGAGGACGGAATAGAGCATCAACCGCGCAACCTTCATTTCTGGCTGCTTATTCTCCCTTTTGTCCTTATTCTTCTCTAAGATTAAAAAAAAAAAAATTAATGACTAATAACTAAAGATTTTAAAATTAACAATCAAGCAAACTTCAATAGTCCCAAGATTTGAGATGTTGGCTTTTGTGGGATTCGACATTTTGGGTGATAAACTCTTTGGTTGTCTCTCCTCCCACTAAGTCAAACCCTTCAACATTACAATAAATCATAACAAAAAATCACAAATATCATAATTGAAGTATTTGGTAGAAATGAACCCAAAATTTACATAAATGAAGTGGATATTACAGAAGGTGAATTCTATCAATCAATAAATCTTGTAAAATTGTGTTTATTGTGTGGAAATTCTGTTTATTTTTGTGTTATGTTTCTTGTATTTAGTTGGACTAAAAAACTAGAGTTAGGTTCCTCTTTAGGGTGCTGTTGAGTTTTATGAACTCAAATACGGATCCATAAAATAGTTTGTTTTATGGAGTCTTTTGTACAAATCATTCATGTAAAAAATCAGAGTGATAGGATAACTATAACCAAGTGATTGGTTCACATTTACCTTCAAAAAAAAGTAGCAACCCATTGTCAAAATCATACTTGTCATTTATTTTTTAAATATAAATTTGATCTAATCATATAACAAATGCTGTCTGATCGACCTGATTTTACACGTGGATTATCTAATTGAACAGTCATACAAGATGAATGGTTCGAGCCATTAGCGTTGGGCCCATGATTGGATGATCTTTTACATAGATGACTTGATGGAAGGGTCGTAATTTTTTACATGAATAATTTGATCGAAGGTGGGACTTTTAATTTTTATATAAATGATCTGGTCGGAGGGTTGTACAAATTTAACCTAATCATATAGCAAATGAATCAATAGAGTCTGAACTCAAAAAAAAAATTATCAATATAACAAATGAATCGATAGAGAGTTTGAACTCAAAAAAAATTAGGTGATTTAGATCACCAAATAAATTTTCATGTGGACCAATCACTAGTGCCCATCTCAATAAATAAGTGGCCATCTCAATAAATGTGAACCCAATGTCTCATTTTTATTGGATTTTCAAAAAGATGGATCCTAATAAATATGGGACTTGAGGTTACATTTGTCAAATGCTTACGTTTTTGGTACCGTTTGAAAATTAAAGTTTTTAGATAAAAAGTCAATAAATTATTTTTTATTTTTTATATGTTTTTTTTTTAATTTATAAAAATTAAAAAATATTAAAAAAATCAATTCACAAAAGTTTTTAAAATCATCCATAATTACGTAGGGGTTGTTTAGGAAGTGTTAGATTAATATTTTTTTTTTATTTTTTACAAAAAATAAAAATAAAACATGAGTTGAATTTAAAATAATATAATAAAAAAATGATATGACCTAAATAAAATAAAATACTAAAATAATACGTGCCAAACAAAGCTTTAGAGCACCTTTGTCACCTTGCAATAATTCCACCGCGCCATGAGGGCCCACATAAGGACCAAGCACTCTGTGGTTCAATCCGTGACATCCTTTTCCTCCTAAACCATCCAAACTCGTATAATATATCTAATACTATATTATAATGTAAAAACACAATTGTGTGAATTTGAAGTTTAGCACTAACTTTTTTTTCTATTCCAAAAATATTATTTAAAAAAATATATTTACCATTTAATATATATTTTACATAAATTACAAATATATCTTTTAAAATTTATTTAAAATATAGATTACCCCCTACAGTTTTAAAAATTATAAATACCCTATTGTCAGAATTTGTTATTCAATAGAGCTAACAAAATAAAATAAAGATTTTTGGTGAAACCCCCATTTTTAGGCTTTTTTTTAAGATAAAGGATAGCTTAACTAATTTAGTTTCAAAAAGTCTCTTAGAAAGAGGTGTGTAGCTCAACAATGACACCATAATTTTTCCTTTTTTTTCCCTTCCATATATATATATATCATATGATCGATATATACATTGATCTTATATATTTGAAAATCTAATCAGTGAAGACGATTCGAAATCAATGAAGACGATCTCAAAATCTAAAGATTTCGGCGTTGATGATCTCGCCGTCTGTCAACAATAGATGATTCGCCGTTGATGATTTCAGCAAATTAGCTTCGATCACGTGTTCTCCCGCAATCTCGAAATATGTATTAACGAGAGTTTATATTTCAAATATGTACAAATTTGTATCAGATTTTGAGAGTTTCATCAAGATTTGGAGTGTTGATTGAGTTTTAGAGGTTTTGCTTCGATCACGTATTTGATTATTGTTCGAGTTTAATCAGGTATGTTGATTTGTTGATTAGTTGTTTTTTTTCTTTGTTTTTGTTTTTTATTTATTTTTATTGTGTATAATCTGATTTTGTTTGATAGAATAAGAATAAAATTTTACGCAGGTACTATGTGCTTTGTTTTTGTTTGATAGAAAGAGAGTAAATTTTATTTTGGTACTATGTACTCTATTTTTGTTTGGGAGTAAAATTTACTCTGATTTTATGTGCTCTGTTTTTGTTTGATAAAATGAGAGTAAAATTTTACTCTGGTATTGTGTTATGTTTTTGTTTGATAGAATGACAATAAAATTTCACTCTAATATTGTATACTTCTGTGATTTGTTTTTGAACTCGTAGTGACAGTAAAATTTTACTTTGATTGACAGTAAATTTTTATTGTCAACTGATTGCAGATTTGAAAAATAGTTCCACCTCTTATGTTGTTATGCAAGTATGGTGATTGTACCATTGTGTTCAAGATTGTGTCAAACTGCACATTGAATGATTTAACCGATTTCTATTGTTTATAGATGGTATTTTCCTAAATGGCAAATAGATAGGCACATTATTATCAATTACAACGAAGGATAGGGATCAAGGTAGACACTACTATCAGTGTCTTACAAAGTAAAATTTTACTTAATTTCATAATAATATTTTACTTATTTTCAGAGTAAACTTTTACTTTTAATTATAATAACAATTTACTGTTTTCCTTTTTTGGCCTTTTGTGTATTATACTTACTAATTGTAAAATGTTCTCTCTTTCAGAATTTTTTTTCCTCTTACAATTGGTATTGTCAATACAAAGACTACTGATAATTGTGGATGATCTTGTTGTCTTTCATTCAATTTGTAAAAAGCTACCCGATAGGTCAAGAAAGAATAGGATTCCATCTAGGGGTGAAAACATAAAACGAGTATAGCAGGAAGATTTGTAAGGAGACATTGTCATGAAAGATATTATTGTTTTGTAATAAAAGTATGAAAATAATGTAGTGCTTTTGTAATAATAGTCCATTTTTATTGTGTTGTTAAATGGTTGTCTATCCAATTCACTGAGTTGCTCTGTAATTCAATTTGACACTTTAATATGTTTTTTTTAATGTTCTTGATTAGTTTCATGTAAAAGAATTTGTAATGTAGCTTGTTCAGTAGAAGTGAAAATTTTGAGTAAAATTTTATTTTGAAAGACAATAAAATGTTACTGTCAGAAACAATATAGGTTTAGTGTGAGTTCTACTGTAAAACATATCCAACACGTACCAACATATGTGTCCTTTTTATTTTTAAACTTTAAAATGATATAACTTTTGATCTAGATGTCAATTTTTAATAAAATAGTATTTTTAGAATCATCTCATCAAGATCTATCAGATAAGATCTATGTTACTATGAAATTCTTTAAAAAAAACAAAACAAAATATTGTCAAAATTGACGTAGACAGTAAAATTTTACTGTTTATCAAAGTAAGGCGAAATCACAGCGTCATTCAGAGTAAAATTTTACTTTGAATCAGAATAAATTTTACTATGATTCAAAATAAAATTTTACTATCATTAAGCAAATTAGCAATCAAACTTTATTTTCGTTAACTAGAGTAGAATTATACTGTTACGAAAACAGAGTACATACTAGATAAAGGAATTATAGTCAAATTTTACTTTAGATCTATGAACAAATAAACAAAAAAACTCTCGATTTTTCATTGTAATATCTCAATTTATCATTTTTTTGACATATATGCGGTCATTTAAATCTGAAGTTATTGATCTCAAACATAAGTTCGTAGATATCAAATCTGATGGTGATGGTTGACGGTAAAAATGGTGGTCACTGACCAACGATGAGGATGAACGATGTCGACCAACGATGGAGATGGTGGAGGCGATGAACAACCATCGACGGTGGACGTAGTGGAGAGAGAGAGAAAGAAAGAGAGAGAGAGAGAGAGAGAGCGCTGTAAAAGAAAGAGAGCTTCTCTGACTTGTGATGGTTGATTCGGAAGTAACAACTAGTATAAGATGATGAAATCATTCAATAACTTCGAAACATTTGACAATGTCACTTGAAAATCTCTCATTATGCTTCAATTTTTGCTTCAATTGACAGTTTTCGAATGAGGGTTTTCAAATCAAGGGTTTTTGAACTTCAGCGGTTTTCAAACGAAGAAAAAGAACAAGAGAGACAAATAGCTCAATTGCTTACTATTGCCCATATATATGCAAGGGTATTCCTGTCTTTTCATCTTATTTTTTTAATTCTTATGGGTTTTGACATCATTA